CGACTGATCTTAATATTACGGTCTGTTTCCCAAAAGCATCGTAACTTAAGTAGCACTTGAAAAACATCTTAGAACTACGAGTGCTCTGGAGTAGCCTAATCGTAAAGCCCTAAGTGCATCGTAAGAAGACAGATTTATGCGGTCACCTGCAGGACAATCAGCAGATTACACCTTTAACTTTATTCACGTGCAATGTGATTATAATATAAAGTTTTGATTGTACTTTATTCTACACTTTATTACTATATTAGGCTACTTTATTTCATTTATTTATTTTTTTTTAATGAATTTATAAATTAAATAATTAAAAAGGGCAGAAAAATAGAAATACACACCTAAATTAAATGACTGAACAAAATAAATAAATAAATAAAAGAAGTAATGTAGGAAATATGCTTCAAAGACTGGGGATACCAATCTAAACTGAATGACTGAAAAAAAAAAAAAAAATGTAATAAAAGAAGTAATGTAAGAAATAGGCTTCAAAGACTGGGGGGAAAAATCTCTCAATGACTTACTGACTTGCACGAAAACCAATGTATTGGACCCGCAAATAACGTCTCTATATAGATATTATATACTATAATAGCGACTCCTAAGTAGCACTTAAGCACGGCTACGTGCGATTGCGTTAAGTGCATTTTTGGGAAACGCACGTGAAACAATAATGAACGATCGTAAAATGACTCGTAGAAAACGTCCTAAGGCTTAAGTCCTAAGATCAATCGTTATCGAGAAATGCAGCCCTATTTGTTTTAGTGATAAGATGATAGCCCAATCAGTTTCGTGGAAAAAAGAATATGACTATGATTAAAATCCAAGATTATAGCACCCTATTTTCCAATCAAGGTGTGTTTTATTAACAATAAACACATTCCATAAACATCACTCTCTGGTTTTGCATGAGCCTTTTTTTTACAACTAAGAACTTTGAGGGACAAATGCAGTGACAGGGAACATACAGTAATAACAAAATGAAAACAAAGTATCTCACAGGTTTTTCCAATAAGTGTGAATAGATTTGTTAGAGCAGAAATGTGTTATGAAATGGCTTTATGTTATTCTGGCTTTAAAAGAAGGTTTGCTGGTTCTACCTACACAAGAGGCAAGCCATGAGTCATCACTCTTGTGGCCTTGACTAAGTTGCTTTGGATAAAAGTGTCTGACCACTTCATCATTATTGACGTTGTTGTCATGAAACTTCCTCAGTTCAAAAGATTAAAAGTGAAGTGTTAATTTCTGCAGGACTAACGTAATTAAACAGAATTGCAAAAACAATTGCAGTGTCCAAAGTTGCACCCTATCCCCTTATTCGCTATCCTTTATATAGTGGATGGCATATAGTTCACTGCATGAGAAAGCAGTGAATGGAAATTAATGAGCAAATTCAAACTGCAAATATTGTGAGTTATTTATTTATTACTATTTCCTTAGAAGAGAACCTAACAGTAAAAGAAAAAGAATGGCAGTATTTCACATCACTTAACCACAACCTTTGAGAATCATCAAAGAATCAAAAATCACCTTAAAAAGGGGCTGAAACTTAAACACGCATCTAAATAATTGTAAACGGTTACTTGCATTGGCTTTGATTGCTGAACAAGAGTCCTGATGCGGTAGACAATGGAGGTCTTTGATGAGTTCGTTAGGAGTGAGCTGGAAGTTTTACTTCTGGTTCTTCTGAAGAAGGAAAAGTCCACAGCGACTAAAGTTACTTGAAGATAAAAACTGCCGGAAAATAAAACTCAAGAGGAAGATCTTGAGAGTCTTGGAAAAGGTGTTGTCTCAAACGAAGAGGGTTTCTGAGCAAAGATTATTTCGGGCTAATCACTTTTGAGGGTTCGTATTCTGGGTGGACTGGCCAATACCAGGCGTGAATTTTTGAGCGGGAGAAGTTTCCTTTGTCTCGCTTTATGGCCCATTTGCATGTTTTATGGCCGGTCTGGAATTGCTGCCGTTTTAACCCAAAATATAGTATAAATCGTATGATGCGTTTCACAATCACATACTGTACATCATTGTTTGAGGAATAAAGAGCAGATAATATTGATACCAACAAACAAACATTTAGAATAGATTAAACCAAAGATACATCCATACACCTGAATATCAGTGTTTAGGGCTTTAACTAATGCAAATAACGAGTGGTAACTCAGCTAATCTAATAGGGAAACGTACAAACAACACATGCAATATACCAGATATATTTGTAACTGCTCAATTATTGTCTAAATAGAGTAAAGGTCTTTACGTGTGTGTGTGTGTGTGGGGGTGTGTTATGTGAGCATGTTGTAGTTTGCTGGTCAGCCAGGCCCATTGGTGCCTGGCCCCGGGGGTCATTTACGTCTCTTTGGAATGTGTTTGAAACTCCAAATGAAGGCGCGAGTGGTGAAACTGTTTAGCATCTCCTTGATAGTGGGGGGAACCATTGGCCATTTAGCACCCATATAAGTGTAAAGTCTGTGACCAGGACTGTAATTTATATGCAAATGTCAAAAGCTAAAAGGGTCTCTTAAGCCATAAAACCCAAAAATCATGCATGATTCTACGCAGACGCTACAGTACATTATTGAGTGGCGAGTGTTAATTAAACCTATTCCTAAGGATTAAACTTGTTATATTACACTTCATTAATATGGTTAAATCTGAGTTCAACTAAAGTCTCTCCAGCCAAAGTAATACCTCTGAAGAAAATGGGCCAGAGAGTGCGCACAGCCCTCAGATGGACTTTAAACAACAAAATGAAAAACGCTCACTCACTGTACTTTTACATAATCACTTATTTCACCCTTATCTATCATTAAAAATAAAGACATGGCTTTTATGGAACATCTGTCCTGTTTATGGGACAGTTTTACAACCCAAATATATATATTAACTTACATTCAGCATCATTATGATGAGAACTCAATCCCTGACACTGGTCTTTTGGCCTTAGTGTATCTCTACACATCAAAAAGAGAAGACGATATACATCTGTGGATATAAGTAAGCTGAAAACAAGAAGAGCTGAGATAGGTAGAGTTATTTGAGGAGCAATTCATAATTAAAGATTACAGAGTAGGTAAACAGTGTGGTAATGGATTGGGTCAAGACTGTGTGTTTAGTGCTCTGGGCTTTCACATTTAACTCAGTAGCAGATGATTTAAAGGAGCAAGCCCTGAAACTGATGGCTGACACTCCACTTATAGATGGGTAAGTCAATCTATTTATCTAATGTAAAAAAAAAGGGACAAAAAGAAAGAAAGAAACATTGTGTAGCATCACAAATAATTACAAAGAAACAGCAAGTAATAGAGAAGTAAACATGACATTTTGAAGTAGAAAGACTGAAATAGTATTTTCTTGTGAAATGAACTCCAATAATGTCAACTTAGATCTATCTATCTATCTATCTATCTATCTGAAAGGAAAGGGAAAAAATAAAGAAAAACAAGTTTTGTAACATTTCTAAAAACAAGATATTCAACATATATTCCCTGAAAGCAAGTTAATCAATACCTTGTGGTAATTTTGCTGCTTAGGTAGCCTAAACACACACATATATATATATATATATGGAAAACAAGATCTCAAAGTAGAAATGTCACTATGAAATAAGCATGGAATATTGTAGTGTTTATTATAAATGTTTTATCTGTGCACATTATTTTTAAGTCATGTGCCCTCATAATCTTTCAAATAAAAGCATTGTTTTATATAAACAGCACTTTCAGAATCTGAAATAAGATTGGATTCCTTCTCATGTACGAAAATTAGTGCAGGTAAACGATATTTAATTTTACAAATGTTTTGCTGCAACAAATAGAGCTGCTACACTCCGAAAAAAAGGTACAAAAGCTGTCGTGCGGTGGGGCAGTATCTTTTCGAAAGGTACAAATAAGTAATATTAAGGTATTAATATGTACACTTTATGGTACTAATATGTACTTTTGAGGTGCTTATATGCATCCTTTTAGGGGTAAATAAGGTACAAATGTGTACCCTTTTAAAGGGTACTGCCCCAGTGACAGCTTACCTTTTTTCTGAAAGTGTATAAAGGAAGGAAGAAATAGTAATAGAAAGTGTAATTCACAGATGCTTGAATTTTCAAGGAAACTTTCAATGTTTGTTTCTCTTATTATCTATGATTCTATTTGAAAGTGATTTGAAATCTCTTATAAAACAGGCACAATGACCTTCCCTGGCAGATGAGGAGCTTGTTTAATAATCAGCTCAACACGGTGGACTTGTACAAACTAAACTCCACACATACCAACATCCCCAAAATCAAAGAAGGGCACCTCTCAGCACAGGTACAAACACAAACAGGCCTACACACAACACATAGGAACATTCACCATAATGGGCAAACTGAATGTGTGGTAATATTTGTTTTTCTGTTGCAGTTCTGGGCAGCGTATGTACCATGTGATACCCAGTACAAAGACGCAGTCAGACAGACCTTGGAGCAGATTGATGTAATCCACAGGATGTGTCATAAATACCCAGAGGTCTTCAAATTTGCTGCTAGCAGTCAAGGTAAGACAGTGAGGCAGCAGTAATTACTGTACAAATCCTTGCAATAACTCAAAGGAATCAAATAGACGTCAGTATTGAATACAATGACACGTTTGCAGTATACACAAGCACACCATTTTTGCTTCAACATGAATGATACTTCAAATTATGCAGCTTGTTACAGTTAGAGAGATAAACTGATAAAACAGATGGAAAAATCCATATTCTTATATAAAGAAGGTTAGAAGTGACCTACTGTATCAACAACCACAAACACCGTAACAACCACCCATCAACACCATATTCCTAAAACACCTTGGAATTATTGTTGTAGTGATAAAGTAAAAAAAAAATCTATGTGTATTTATAATTGTTTATAGTTTTTTATATAAACTAAAACTAAAATGTTTTTGCAGATATATTGGATGCCTTTGAACAGAATAAGACAGCAAGTCTGATTGGGGTAGAAGGTGGACATTCAATTGACAGTAGTTTGGGTACTCTGCGCACCATGTACCAGCTGGGCGTCCGATACCTCACTATCACACATAGTTGCAACACACCATGGTGAGTCGGGAGAGTAATTATACTTCATAGCACAGATGACAGCAGAAATGCATTTATGTCAAAGTACAGAGTACATACAGACTGATCCAGCAAGGTGAGGAAATAAGTTTGAATGATGGTTTCATTAGTTTGGAATGAAGTAAACATAAACCTGCCAGGAAACTGTGCCAGAGGTGTTTTATTAAATAACTTTTTTTGTAACACACCCACATAACACGGGCAACAGTAGTGTGTGAAAATCAAGGAAAATTCCTGGTTTAACTTTTACTTGCAGCTATACCACAGAATTCATATTTTGCATTTAAGGTGTGGCTGAAATAAAAGCTACATCAGGTTTCCAAAGAAATGGCCACATAAGTGCCTGTGCCCATCTGATTAGAGAAGGGGTTTCAATTTCAGCTAAAAACTCTATTGTTTCCTTTACCATGTTTTGGTCTCACTTCCTTCTAGGGCAGACAACTGGCTGGTGGACACAGGATCTGAGCCTGAAGCGCATGGTGGTTTGTCTGATTTTGGCAAGGTTAGACACAGAGATGCTTTATTGTCAGATTTGTACAATTAAAAAATAAATAATCAAATACAAATATTCTTTGGACCAATTAAAAAATACTGTAATTTGTTACAGTCAAATTTGTTCGTTTGGCTCAAATAATATTTATTATTTGGTTAAAAATTAATGGTTCAAAACAATTTTTATTTTCCCAAAGATAAAAACATTCATGCAAAGTTAAATGATTAATTATTATAAAGACTATATACCATATACCAAAGACTACATACCATATACAATACTTTGGATATAAGCCAAAATGTTACTTAATGTAAGTCAACAAATTTAGACAAAATTGTGTATTTTTTTTTTTTTTTTTTCCTAAGGTGAGTGTTATAATAATGCACTTAATCTGTTATGAACTTACAGACAAGGCTAGACCTTTTTTCTTAAACTAAATATAGAATAAAAACATATTTCACTATGGCACATTATTTACCGGACAGTTATTTAACATAAAGCATTTCGTGAACTCTAAAATGTTATTAACTGTTGACATGGTGGTGGTTAATGTAGGCCACCCTGACTTGCTGTCGTCTTTTAGAGAAAGCTTTACTCCTTATTGCTTTCTGTAGTGACCCATTTAATTTGTCCTTTCAGCAAGTGATCCGGGAAATGAACCGCATTGGAATGCTGATTGATCTGTCTCATGTGTCTGAGAAGGTCATGAATCAGGTGCTGGACATCTCTGAAGCTCCTGTTATCTTCAGCCACTCTTCTGCCTACAGCATCTGTAATCACAAGAGAAATGTTCCTGATGATGTTCTTATGAGAGTGATAAGTGTACCATCAATTTACAACCTCAAAATGTTACATTACAGAATTTATTGCACAAAAGGATAGACCATGACACACTTACACTTCCATATTCATAAAAAGTATTACTTATTTAGCGATATAAAGAGATGTTATAAAAGATAAATCAGATGCTTTCATTAAGCAAAATCACATGGATAATCACGGCTTCAGCCATGGCACAAGTCAACAGGTAATCATTGCCATTCTGATATTCAGGTAGGGTGGTTTCACTACAATGGTTCAGGCTGCAGGATTGTCGAATGACTATAGAAAAGTTATCAACTTGACTGTACATTCCTTGTCGATTACCCCCCAATGCTGCTTATACCAATAATGTAAATAAGCACAGTTAGAATAGCTAAATATGTGGGAGATCATTGCTATGGTGTGACTATATTGTATTGAAATTCACTTCAATTCACTTCAATCAAAACTAGGTACCACATAATTTATAACTGAAATGGTAGTCCAGTAAGAGTATGTTTATGGTTACACTTGAATTAAGTAACATGAATAAATGAAGGAAATGTTAAAACATATACCGTTATTTGTACACTGTAATGTTGTAGGAAAAGTGGAGGCGTGGATCTAAGGCCCTGTTTACACTAGTGTGTTTTCGTTTCAAAACGGCATTTTAAAATGAAAACGATTCTCGTCTACACTGGTGTAAAAGTGTAAACAGTAAGTTGGTTGCTAGTCACTGGCAAGTACAACATGATAGCGAGGAAAAGCAAGGACGTCTTGCCGATAGCTCTAAGCACAGCTTGCCTCTTGCCTAGGCAGCTGCTGTATTATAAAACACTGAATTTAGCTGCACAATGGCTACTAAAAATGACAACGAAGCCAGTAAACATGACAACATGACAATAAAAATGACAACGACCAGAAGGAAAAATACACTGGATCATGTGTATTCCAAAATTAAGAATGCCTACAAGGCCGCACCCCTCCCCACCTGCTTCTTCTCCCAGCATACACCCCACTGAGGAGGAAAACAAAACCGGTCACAAAGATCATAAAAACTTGGCCTGAAGAATCTCTCTCTCAGCTGCAGGACTGCTTTGAACGAACAGACTGGGAGGTATTTGAACATCAGGCCCTGGAACAATACACAGAATCTGTTTTGTTCTACATTAAAAATTGAGGACCACCTCGCAGACAAAAATCCAAGAAGAGTGTGGCAGGGTATTCAGAGCAATACCAATTATAAGAACAAATACCACAGCACTGTTAACGCTGATGCTTCACTGGCTGAGGAACTTAACCATTTATTTGCCCGCTTTGAAGTTAAGCAACCCACAACAACTTCAGCACCATCACCAACCTCTGGCACCTGCCATCTCACCCTACAGGAATATGAGGTGAGACGAGTACTCAAAACTGTAAACACAAGGAAGGCTGCTGGTCCGGATGGAGTAGCTGGCAAAGTACTCAAAGCCTGTGCCAACCAGCTTGCTGGAGTCTTTACAAAGATCTTCAACCTTTCACTGACATCGGCCATCATACCACCCTGCTTAAAATCAGCCACCATCATCCCTGTTCCTAAAAAAGCAGTCACCAGCAGCTTAAATGATTACAGACCAGTTGCACTCCAAAGAACAATCAACACAGGCCAAAAAATCACTGGCTGCTCACTACCCTCCCTGGAAAGCATTGCTCGCTCCCATTATCTCTCATCTTTCATAAACATCATCAAGGACACATCCCATCCAGGACACCACTTGTTTAATCTTCTGCCCTCAGGCAGGCGTTACAAATCCTTAAGAGCAAAAACCCCTCACTTACAGAACAGTTTCTTCCCAATTGCTATCAGGACTTTAAACTCATAAATGCACTAATGTTAAAATACTATTCCAACCACGTTATTCTTTTAACTACAGTCACTTATTTCATTCAAATCTCTTCTGTCTATACTGCTGCTATATAACATGCAATATACAATATTGTACAATACGCATTATGTCAATCTGCAATACCACTGTCTGAACACTTTATTTATCAGAACTTCAAACAATGCACTAAATAGTATGTCAGGGTGATATACCATATCTGGTTACTAAATGTGAACACTATATCTGCAGTAAAGGTGCAATAATATATGTGCAATAATATACACTATATGTCAATGTGCAATACTATCTCTAGTCACTAAATCCCCACAGTTCCCTATCTGTCGGTCACTACGAGTTATGTCGAACGACATATGGGGTCTCACTTGGGAGGCCAATCATCTCTGAGTTTAAGAGAAAACGCCAATGAAAATTGGCTAGTTGGCGACAGGTGCATCCACTCTTCAGATATTTGCTTCGGAGCCGAGTAGTTGATGTTATATATTCACTACAAAGCCATTCATCTTTGTGTTCGGAGGGCTGTTCCTGGTTGGTGTTACGGCTCGTTACAGCGGTGTCTGTCATCAGCGATTCCCCTGGGCGCTTCAGCTAAAAGAGCAGTTTCCTCTAAAAGAGCAAATAACGGACGATTTGCGTCTTTTTCAAGATGCCGTTTCGTCCGTGTCCTTCTGGATGCGGTCGTTTCCTGTCCTCTGTCGATGGCCACGATCGCTGTCTTCAGTGTCTGGGCCTTTAGCACGCTGAAGTGGCGCTCGTGGATGAGTCATGCGTCTATTGTGGGCGTATGAACATGGCAGCGCTGTGATCGCATCTCTCGCTCCTCAAGGGGAGTGCAGCAGACCCCTCTGTCACTATCCATCCTGGTTTCTCTGCCGCGAGCAGAGGACTGCTGGCTAGTGCTCTGGGAGATCTGAGGGTGACTGTGAGAGCTTCTCCGCCGGGCCCCGCTCCACGGACCTGTCACTCCTCCTGCAGCGCCTGTTCTGTGCGGCCGCCGGATGATTCTGCTGGGTCGTTTCACGGCAGTCCCAGCGTGTCATTCGGTGTGCCGCCAGAGGATCAGATGTCGATTGCAGCATCGGGGGATGGGCTTTCGGCCTCTGAGGATGAAGATTCGGCGGGGCTGCCCCCCTCGGGTGTTGTCGCCACTGCCAAATCGGACCCAGAGTTGTCGGCCATGCTTGCCCGGGCAGCCGTGAGCATCGGGCTGGAGGTGAATACACCGCCCAGCCCTGAGCACTCGCGGCTGGATGATTGCTTTCTCGGCGCGGAGCGCGGCTCACAACCGCGTTCTGCTCCGGTTCCTTTCTTCCCGGAGGTGCTTGAAGAGGTGACGAAGTCGTGGACGGCCCCTTTCACGGCCAGAAGCCGGTCATCTCCCTCTTCCATTCCAAAGTCGAGGACTTTGCCCAGCAGTTCTCGGCAGTACAAAGCAGACTGAGGCCATTCAACACATCTTGACCTGACGTGATCCTCCAGCTGCCACCGTTCCGTCGCGAGCCGTATCTCAGCCTCCTCGTCGCTGTGGGCGCCCTCCTGCGTCCTCCACTCCGGCTCCGCCCCACGTTGAGACTACATCAAGGCCGGCGCATCAAGCCCCACACAGGAGAGCGACGCCGCCCGGCCGCTAAGTCCTCTAAGAAGACGATGAAGCGGCCCTGACACGGGCAACCCAGAGATGTGGGAGACTGCTCTTCAGGAGGTGGTGGAGACAGCGCCGCTCCTTCCCCCGGAGGAGGGCCGGGCGGAGAATCTTCAAGGCTCGTGGGTCGACAGTGGGCGATGCACTGCTTACTCACTCTCACCCACGACGCCCCCTATTGCCAGTGGCCGAGAGCTCATGGTTCGGAGCCACAACGCCTCTCCACGCGTCTCTGGTCAGTCCCTCCGGGGACACGGGGAGTTTTGCTGTGATGACTAAGAATGCAACGCCTTCTGGGCCACCCAGTTCAACTCCCCATCGCTGCACCACTGCTGGTACGTCGACTGTCCCTTTGGTGCCACTTGTATGGAGTTTGGGGGCGTGTCTTGCGCTGCCCAACCCATCCCGTTGGCTCATTCGGACGGTTCGACTCGGCTACGCGATTTAGTTCGCAGGACGACCTCCCAAGTTCAATGGCGTTCTCGAAACTTCGGTGGCAGTCCAAGACGACTCTGTCTTGTGCGAGGAGATTGCTGTCCTGTTGGCAAAGGATCCAATCGAGCCGGTCCCTCCAGCCGAGATGTGTGGAGACAGCGCCGCTCCTTCCCCCGGAGGAGGGCCGGGCGGAGAATCTTCAAGGCTCGTGGGTCGACAGTGGGCGATGCACTGCTTACTCACTCTCACCCACGACGCCCCCTATTGCCAGTGGCCGAGAGCTCATGGTTCGGAGCCACAACGCCTCTCCACGCGTCTCTGGTCAGTCCCTCCGGGGACACGGGGAGTTTTGCTGTGATGACTAAGAATGCAACGCCTTCTGGGCCACCCAGTTCAACTCCCCATCGCTGCACCACTGCTGGTACGTCGACTGTCCCTTTGGTGCCACTTGTATGGAGTTTGGGGGCGTGTCTTGCGCTGCCCAACCCATCCCGTTGGCTCATTCGGACGGTTCGACTCGGCTACGCGATTTAGTTCGCAGGACGACCTCCCAAGTTCAATGGCGTTCTCGAAACTTCGGTGGCAGTCCAAGACGACTCTGTCTTGTGCGAGGAGATTGCTGTCCTGTTGGCAAAGGATGCAATCGAGCCAGTCCCTCCAGCCGAGATGAGGAAGGGGTTTTACAGCCCTTACGTCATCGTACCCAAGAAAAGCGGTGGCCTTCGACCTATCTTGGATCTGCAAGTCTTGAATCGGGCCCTTCACAAGCTCCCGTTCAAGATGTTGACGCAGAAGCGTATTATCAAATGCGTTCAAACCCAGGATTGGTTTGCAGCGATCGACCTGAAGGATGCGTACTTTCATGTCTGGATCCTTCCTCGTCACAGACCGTTCCTGCGGTTTGCGTTCGAGGGTCGGGCATGGCAGTACAAGGTCCTCCCCTTCGGGCTCTCCCTGTCCCTCCGCGTCTTCACGAAAGTCGTGGAGGGCACCCTTGCCCCACTATGGGAAGTGGGCATCAGGATCCTCAACTATCTCGACGACTGGCTCATTATG